GGGCGGGGCCGGGCGGTGGGCGGGGCCGGGCGGTGGGCGGGGCCTCGGCCCTCCAGCGCTCCGGTCCCACCGCCTGCTACCCGGCTCCGGGTCCCTGCTGCTTCCCCCGCGCCTGCCAATGGCCGGAAAGGCGCTGTCGCTCCTGCCGCCGCTGCTGCTGGCCTCGGCGGGCATCGCCGGCCTCTTGCTCCTGTGTGTCCCCACCCGCGACGTCCGGGAACCGCCTGCTCTCAAGGTGCACGCCCGGCCCGGCGCGGCCCGGGAACTGCGAGAGGGAGGGTGGCGGGACGGAGGCCGGGCCCGCGCTGCGTCCAGCCGGCTGCAGATCTCGGGTCCTGCAGGTCCTGGTTCGACGGAGGCGCGTTCCGGGTGACGTGGAGCCGGAGGTCCAGGTCGTGGGGACTCCCGGCCCACGGAGACCACCACTGTGCTCCATTCTCATCCCGGGGTGCAGCCAGGCCAGCCCATCCAGCCGGGGCTGTGGCAGCATCCTGTGCTGCGTGGACCGTTAGAGTTACAGGGGCCTGGGTTTGCCTATTGTGGCCGACGGCGAGGGTAAACGGGGACTCCGGTGCCCCTGACTATGTGGGCACGCCTTGTAGTGGACTTGTCCTGGGGTGACCCTGGCTGGTCCATCCCCCCCCCCAGGTTGATCTGCACGGGGCCTGTTAATCCTTAGTGTGCTGGGCTAGATGTAGGGGGACATGGAGATCCAAGCCCTTTGAGCTCAGGATGTGGACCCAGGAAGGGGGATCTGGGCCTTCTTGGGTGCTGGCAGAGTTTCCTGGCGGCCGGACAAGAGCAGCCTTTCCTGACCAGAAGCTGCACCCAGTGGGTAGTCTCCATTCTGGGCCTTTGGGGGAGGTCCTGGCAAGAGCCACTTGCATGCCCATGCTGAACTCCCCCACCTTGGGGAGAGGTCCACAGAGTAACCTCTCCCTGCCTTGGCTTTAAGGCCCAGAGAGGGTGATGGACTGGAGGCCCACTCACAGCCTCGGAAGTCTCTCCAAGTTGGGCTAAGGGCAGGGCAGGGGTGGGCGGAGTAGGAAGGAAAAGTGGGCTCCTCCTGGAAGTGCCAGGGCAAAGCTGCAGGCCTGGCCATCCTGGGACGCTTTGATCTTGGAACAGCCCCTCAAGTGCTCTGGCCAATAGCCCTCCCACAGCCTGGCATGCTACCCTGAGGAGAGGGGAGGGGATCACCAGAGGGTCCTGGTAACCAGCAGCCATCACCAAGGCTGTTCTTGGCCTTCTGTGAGCTTTGGCATGAGGGAGGGTACAGCACTGGGGGAGCTAGAAGGCCCCCAGGTCACTCAGGCTGATGTCTATCACACCCCTAGTATGGCATCGTGCTGGACGCTGGCTCTTCACATACATCCATGTTTATCTACAAGTGGCCAGCAGACAAGGAGAATGACACAGGCATTGTGAGCCAGCACAGCTCCTGTGATGTCCAGGGTAAGGCCCTTTCCAAGTCCTGGATTCCCAGTCCCTGTGGGGTCTCAATCCTGCCACTCTACTTGAGGCTGGGTGGTGCTCACTCCAGGCAGGAGTTTCAGACACAAAGTGCTGGGTCCTGGGCCTGGGAGGTGGGGGCAGTTTGTGTTCTAGAAAGAAAGCTTCAAGTAGAAATGTAGGGTTGAGCCTCAGTGGAACAGGAGGGGCATGGAGGACCTGGCGGGCACATCAAGGCAGATCCCCTGGGAGGGTAGGCTGCCTTGACAAATGCCCAGTGCTTTGTTCTGGCACCTGTGCCCATACCCACCCAGCAGGCAGCAGCCTCAAAGTCTGGGTGGCACCCAGGGCCTTTTGTCTGTGAACAGGGTGTCTCTGGGGCTGAGACTGGCACCTTTGTCCACACCGGTTGGAAGCCTCCAGCCTGGGCCTGGGCCTGGGCCCATCTTTCTCCACCATCCAGGTGGGGGCATCTCCAGTTATGCGGACGACCCTTCCAAGGCAGGACAGAGCCTGGTGGAGTGCCTGGAACAGGCACTGCGGGATGTGCCCAAAGAGAGACATGCTGGCACACCTCTGTACCTGGGTGCCACAGCAGGCATGCGCCTGTTGAAGTAAGTGAGGTCTCCGGTCCTTGCCCTGGGCTCTGCATGTCCTTCGCACCAGCTTTGGACAGGGACTCTTCATTCAGTAGACCCTGAGCACCCCATGGTCAGACCGCAGCTTCCTGTGGAGAAGGCTCTCAGAGTTGTCCCATCCCACAGCCTAACCCGTCCAGAGGCCTCAGCCAATGTCCTGGCTGCCGTGACACAGACGCTGATCCAGTACCCCTTCAACTTTCGGGGGGCACGCATTCTGTCGGGCCAGGATGAGGGCGTGTTCGGCTGGGTGACTGCCAACTATCTCCTGGAGAACTTCATCAAGGTGGGCATGCAAATGCCCCAGGGGACCAGGGCACGGGCCCCTGTTCCTGGCTGACCCATTTCCATTCTTCGCAGTATGGCTGGGTGGGCCGATGGTTCCGGCCCAGGAAGGGAACCCTGGGGGCCATGGACCTGGGAGGCGCATCCACCCAGATCACCTTCGAGACAGCTAAGCCAGCTGAGGATCCAGCCAACGAGGTCCACCTTCGGCTTTATGGCCAGCACTACCATGTCTATACCCACAGCTTCCTCTGCTATGGCCGAGACCAGGTCCTCCAGAGGTTGCTGGCCAGTGCTCTCCAGGTGCCTCTCCACTCTAGGGAACCCCCACTGCACAATCCCTTAGGGCAAGGAGGGAATGGAGAAGGATGGGCTGAGAACCCCAGAGCAGAATATGGCTTCTGCTAGAAGGAGGGGCGGGACCAGCATGAGGAGGGTCCAGTGGCCAGGGATCTGGAGAAGGGAGGGCCACAGTCTCAGAGGGCCTCAGATGCTTGCCAAGGGGTTGGGTTTTTGTCCAGCAGGCAATGGGGCACCATAGATCACTAATGAGCACAAAAATAGTATTGTCCCAATTGAACCATAGGAATTCATCAGTCTGGCCTTCCGGGGCAGAGAGACAGGCAGTACTGGGAGTGGGGTGCCACTGATTCAGATTCTCTCTTCCCAGACGCAGCATTCTCACCCTTGCTGGCCACAGGGCTACTCCACCCAGGTGCTGCTCGGCAGCTTGTACCAATCACCTTGTACCCGGGCTCAGTGGCCCCGGGCCTTCAATAGCAGCACCAGGATCACAGTGTCGGGCTCCAGTGACCCTGTACTCTGCCGTGGCCTCATCTCAGGGCTCTTCAACTCTTCCTCCTGCCCTTTTTCCCGCTGCTCCTTTGATGGGGTCTTCCAGCCCCCGGTGGCTGGGAACTTCATCGTGAGTTCTGGGCCAGCAGTGGGAGCGGGTGTGGGGTGGAAAGTGCCTCGGGCCAGCTGTGGGTAACTGTGGCCCCCGCAGGCCTTCTCTGCCTTCTACTACACCGTGGACTTTCTGAGGACTGTCATGGGGCTGCCCACGGCCACTCTGAGGCAGCTGGATGTAGCCGCGGTGACCACCTGCAACCAGACATGGACTGAGGTGAGGCTCGCTACCTCCGCGGGCCGCTGGGCCTCCAGCAGCACCCTCATACTTGCCCCATCCTGTGGGACCCAGGCCTCAGCGTGCTCTGTGGTTGGGCCACCATGCTATACTCCAGAAGTGGGAGACTGTGCGGAGGAGTGTGAGGCCCGTGAGCAGGGGACCCTGGTGCCTTCCTTGAGGCACGGCCCTGCCTACAATGAAGACCAGCATGACTGGGCGCACAGAGATGTGACTGCGACCCAGCGGGGAGAGTCGGGGCTGTGGAGGAAGATGGGGCACCCAGTGGTACAGCCGTAGAGCGCAAGGCTCGCTTGGGTGGAGGAGCCTAAGGTCTCCCTAGGCCCAGACTTAATGGCTCCAGCCCCTGGCAGAACACTGGTGCCAAGTAAGAACAGCGAGGTGCTTGGTGCCTGAATGTGCGGTGCCCACCCGACCCTCAGGGAAGAATGTGACGCCCGTGGCACTTCTCAGGGGATGGGGAGACAGAAGCAGCAGGAGAGGGAGTGGAGCGGCGCTCAGCCTGGAACTCCTGTTTCCCGGGGCCTCTGCTCTTCTGGAGTCTGGTCCGGTGCTGGCCGGGGAGGGGCCACGCTGCGGTCCTCGTCCGGGTCCCGCCCATCCCAGAGGCTTGCACCGTTTCCTGTACCTCCCTGGTGCGGTCTTGCCGGGCTTCCGGGGCGCGTTGGGGAGAACACGATCCCCTGCTGACCTCCTTTCGCCAGGGTCCCAGCCCAACAGTTTCCCTACTGCGTCCCAGCTGCAGGCTCGGGCGCCACAGCAGAAGGCCCGCCTGGCCGACTACTGCGCGGGAGCCATGTTCGTACACCAGCTGCTGAGCCAGGGCTACGGCTTTGATGAGCGCACGTTCAGCAGCGTGACCTTCCAGAAGAAGGTGGGTTGGGTGGGGTGGGGCGGGCCTGGGGCGTGGCCTGGCTTTTCTGGAGGCTGAAGCCACGCCCCCACCCGCAGGCTGCGGACACGGCCGTAGGCTGGGCGTTGGGCTACATGCTGAACCTCACCAATATGATCCCCGCCGACCCGCCAGGGCTGCGCAAGGGCACCGCCTTCAGCTACTGGGTGGCCCTTCTCCTGCTCTTCGCAGCCTTGCTCCTGGCCGCTCTTGTCCTGCTGCTGCGCCGAGCTCGCTCTCCCAAGGCGCAGAACGTCATCTAGGGGTGAGGGGGTTGCCCTGGATCCCACCCACAGCACTTCACTCCGCAGTATCCTGCCCCAACACTCCTGGAGGGTCGCAGAACTCAGATTCTGCCATCCACACCCACAGGGGTCCTGTGTGGGGCAAAGGAAACCCACGCTCCCTTTCAGCTCCCCAGCACACCCAGTCCTGGCCGCTGGGCTTTGCCTTAACGCTTCTCTTTCTGAGGTGAGGGCCCTTCACCCTAACTCAGAGCAGAGTCTCCAGGAAGTGGGGCCTTGTGTGATCATCAGGGCCCTCGAAGCCGCTCTGTGGATTCCTGGCCTTTCCTGGGGAGGGTCAGAGCCCACGGAGGGGAGCCAGCCCAGCGCCTGCTTGTAAACATTTTGTAATAAAAGGTTTTTCCTAGAGCAGCGAAGGGTGTTCACAGGGTGGGGTGGGTGTCGCTGCTTGAGCTCTCTCCATCCAACTATGTTGGAACAAAGCCTTGGCTAGTTCCCACGGTGGACACAGCTCTTTCAGCGTCCTTCCTGTTTGGGCCTGACCGGGGCAGTGTGGGGCTCCCTGCTTGGGTGTACGGGGACATCCCTGAATCCTTGAGCCTTCTTCAGCCTGAAGACCCCAAGAACCCCACAAGCCACTCCCCCAGATCTGCTTCAGTGACCCAGGTGGGATGGAAGTAGCTCCAGCTGGGCTAGAAGAGGGTGGGCTTGGGGAGATGTGAGGAAGGCCAGCCTCCCGAGAGGTGTGGGCCGGAGGTGACCCCCGCAGGAGCCCACCTGCCGAAGCCACCTGGACACTTTGCCCTGCTGCCCTGGGCACTGAGCTGGCATTCTGCGCTTGTTTACTCCAGGGCGGGAAGGCGTGGCCTTGACGATTCCCTCTTCCTCTTGGGAATGCCCTCAAGCTGTTAATGTGGTCACTGCCCTGTGTATGTGTTGGGGGGGCTTGTTCTGCTCACCCCCCACCCCACAGTCCCTTCTGCAGAAGCGCTTTGTAGTCTGAGACCCGAGGGCCAAGAGAAAGCGCCGGGCTACAGTCTCCATCTGGTTGTTTCGGCCGAGCTGGGGGAGGTTCTAAGTGGGACGGGGCTGTGCACCCAGGGGATGGCAGATGAGGGGCGAAATAGGGAGTTTAGGCGCCGATGGCATGGGGCCCCAGGGACCTGAAGTCGCCACCTGGGACTGTGACCACCTTGGACAGCTCCCAGATGGTTTCAGCAGCAGCTCCAGGTCACTCTTGCCCCCTGGTGGACTCGCTGGAGATGCGGCCGAGAGGCGTTCGGGAGCGGTCAAGTTTTGCGTCCGTGTTTGCATTCACCGTTGTCTCTGCGCACCCTGCTTACGCATTTCCGTGCATCTGCACATCCCTCGTTTATCTATGGGCGCTGGGGTCCCCGATCCCCAGAGTTCTCACCCCAGCCCAGGCAGAGGCTCCGCTCCAGAGGGATGGGGGCGAGGGTCTGGCTAGCCGATCGGGGAGAGAGGAGTAAGACGCCCCAGGCCAATCTCGAACTAGATTCTCCGGAGCGAGTTTGCAGAAGCCAGAGGCGCAGAGGCGCAGAGGCGCTGGGCCTAAGGAAAGGAGGCGGTGGCGGCGCTGCGGAGGGGAGGGGGCGCAGCCGAGCGCGTCCCGCCCCTAGCCGCCGCGCGCAGGCGCATTGCTCGCGCTCCTCCGCGCACTCCGCGCGCACGCCTCCTGCCTCGCGCCTCCATCCCGGATTCTCCGCTGCGGCGTCATACGCCGCCTCCTCTTTTCCTCTTCCTGCGGCTCCGCCTCCGCCTCCTCCGCCCTCCTGCTCTCCGAGGTCTCTGCTCGCGGCCTGGAACCGAGACCGAGCCCGGGGTCGCCGGCTGCCATGCTGCCCGGGCGGCGGCGCTGAAGGATGGCGACGCCCGTGCCCCCGCCCGCTCCGCGCCACCTGCGGCTGCTGCGGCTGCTGCTCTCCGGCCTCGTCCTCGGCGCTGCGCTGACGGGGACCACCGCCAGCCGCCCGGGTGAGCACGCGGGCGCGGGGTGCAGGCCTCGGGGACTGGGCCTTCTAGCCCGGGGTGAACGGCCCCGCCGAAGGCTCCCCGGAGGCCCAGCCCAGGCGCAGGCAGCCTCGAGTCCACAAGCTTCGTGCCTTTTCCTCGTCGGGAGCCAGGCTGGGGTCCTGGGTGGTCTCGAGTCCGTCCTGTCGTCCTTGTCTGTGTGTCTCGGGTTCCTGAGGTGTCCCTCGTCACGAGAGTGGGAGGCTGTCTGTCTTAGAGCCGCAAGTGGTGCCTAGCACACACCACCTTTGCTCCCCGCAGCAGGGGCCGAGGGGCCCGACCTAGGGTCATGTTCATTCAGTGGAGGCAGACTGTCCCGGCTCCTGGGACGCTTAGCCGTCCTGTCTGTGAACTAAGGTCAGCAGATGGATTCTGGAGGAGAGGGATGAGCCCAGGGTCCTGGGGTTCCTCCTGCTTCCGGATGGCTGTACAGGGTCAAGGCAGCACAGGACTGCAGGAACCCGGGGTCCCGCACACTGTCCCATGTTGGGCCTGGGAGACTGTCGGGTGGTTCATTCGGCTCTCCTGGCAGCCTAGTGCTGATGCTTTTTGCCCAGCTTACAGATGAGGATACTGAGGCCCAGAAAAGTCAAGTGGCTGGTATATGGCACAGTTATGGTGGGAACCTCAGCACTCTTGTTCCGTGTTTGTGGGTAGGCGTCCTCCTGGGTGCGATGAACCTGGATAAAATGTTGGCACAACCACAGGCCTGGGAGGAGGCCTGCAGAGAGCGCAGGACTGACTAGAGGTGTTGGAGCCACCTTTGGAGAACCTGGCTCCCAGACTGCAGCTGCTGTGATCCCCGGGGACCATCAGCCTCTGCAACTTCATGCGCAGTGCCCAGTGCCTGGGAGGAGCCCTTGGTGGCCCACGTATGGGCAGAGTGCCAGCCACTCTCCAGCTGCCACTGCTTCTGGGACCTCATCCCCCACTGCAAGCCAGAGGGGCTTTCCAGACCAAGACCAGACACATCCTGGGGGCCAGATGGCTCAGGAGGAGGCCTTGGGAACCTGGAGCCAACCCTGCCCTGCAGGCCTCTGCTGCAGCCTGGTGCACTCTGGGTTATCAGCACCAGGAGCAGGAACTGTCTCCTGCTAGTACCGAGCCTCCTGGCACAGGTATAATGTTTAACTAGCCCATGCCTGGTCCCAGCCCACTGATGTGATACTGGTGAAGGTGAGGTGCCTGGGATGGAGCCTGTACCCACCTGCCACTTGGGTTGCTGGGACTTCCTTACAAAGATGCCTGCAGCCTGGAGCCCTGAAGTGTCAGGTTTCCAAGGCAACCAAGCTAGGCTAGCCAAGGTCTGGAGAAGGGCACATAACTCCACGTCACTCTGGGCCCCTGTGGCCCTGCCTACTGTGTGGGTGGGGGCTGGGCAGAGTAGGGACTGTGGTCCTGGTGGGTCCCCTGAGCTTGCTATGGCTGTGCCTAGTGTCCCAACTTGGAGATGTTCCTTAGCTTTGAGCCACCTGAACCTCTTCTGCATCCCTAGGGAGAAACTGAGTTAGAGGGCCTGCCTTTCCTGTGCTCTGGCAGATTGATAGGCCTGGTTGCTGTACAAGGCGCTGGTTGGGTGCCATGGGCTGGGTCCCAAATCAAGGAGATGAAAATGTTCAGAACCAGGGCCTGGGCTGCAGTCCCCAGCATTGCCTGACACAGGCCTCCTGAGGCTGTGGGTCTGGCCAACCTCAGTGGCTTCCCTGTGCTGAGGACAAGCTGGACTAGCAGCAGGCAGCACCATCTTCCCAGCTGGCCCTTGTTAGGGGTCTTCTTGAGTCTGCTCTGTGGCGCCCTGATCAGGTGGCATGTGAAGTGGGTAAGGAAGTCGCCCAGCACGCTTTGCTGCTCTCCAGCCAGAGCACCTAGGCTGACCCCCTGGAGCTCCAGCTGATCTGGAGGCACTGTGAGACCAAAGTTTGGAGGACTACACAGCCTGGCCCAGAAGAGCCCGGTGCCAGCTGGGTACTAAGGGTCAGCTTCTGGCTGGGCTCTGCGCGGACAGCTGGCTCAGGCAGGGAAGATGGACTCTGGGGAGTAGGTGGGGCATCGTGGTTCCCATAAGTCTTGGAACTGTTTGCTTCCTGGTTCTGAGCCCTGGCCAGCGGAGGAAAGGCCTGCAGGTCCAGAACAATGGCCAAGCCTGGCCAGGCCAGCACTGTGGGGGAGGGGAGCCCAGCTGAGAGGGCCGTGATGCCCTGATTCTGCTTCTTTCCCAGGTGCAATTGCCTGCCCCGGGAGCCTGGACTGTGCCCTGAAGAGGCGAGCGAGGTGCCCCCCAGGTGCACGTGCCTGTGGGCCGTGCCTCCAGCACTTCCAGGAAGATCCCCACGGGCTGTGTGTGCCCAGGACGCACCAGCCACGGGGTACGGAAGGGTGCACGGCAGTGGGGCTGTGGTGGCCTCCTCCCCCTCCGACATTGCGCTAGGCCAGCGACCGGGCCTCCTGGTTCTGGACACTGAACGATTTTCACTTCACTCTGGAAGTAGCCCTGCCATCCTTTGGAGAGCCTGGAGCTGGGCTGCTGGGCGGAGGCCAGGGCCATCTGCCTATGCTGGGTGGGCAGCCTTGGGAGAGGAGGGGTCAGAGTTGCTGGCAGGGGCCCAAAGGATCCCACTTGCCACCCTCAGGGGCCCCCAGCACTGTGCCACAGCAGGTGTTTGTGAGCACTGCCTTGGGCAGTGCGGTCCGCCTTGGGTAAGAGGATGGCCAGTGACTAAGTCTGCTTGTTTAGGTGTGCTGGGCTTTACACAAGGGCTGAGGGGCAAAGGCTTCCTGGGGTGATAGGCACATAGGGGGCTCTGCTGCAGAGTGGGGTGCTGCTCTCTGCATTCTAGAGCTTGTGTGTGGCTCTCTGCCTGGGAGATTCCACCTGGAGACATGGAGTCTGGCACCAGCTGCCCTGTCCACTGCTGTCCCTTGTTCCAACCACCCAGGGGTAGCTTGATGTAGGGTTGTACCTCAGCCTCTGCTCCTTGGGGAGTCACTGCCCTCACCCCTGCTGCACCAGGGCAGGTGCTGGGGAGGGACAGGGATGGCTGTGCTGGCCTAGTGTGCCCTGCCCTTTGTGGACATAGCCACGTGAAGACCCCATTTCTTCCTCCTCCCTGGCGTTGGAAGCTTCCAGTTGTTGTCATGGCAGCTTGATTTGCATTGGGGCCCTGGAGTTGGCACTAGGTCCCCAGGGTACCTGACAGCCCTCGTCCTCTTCAGGGCAGGGGCTGCCCCCGCCCAGGCTGGAAGATGACATCGACCTCTTGGCCCAAGAACTGGCGGTGAAGGAGGCCGGGCACTCACAGCTCGAGCTGAAGCCAGTCCTTGAGGACCGACCCGGGCACCTGGAGCCTGGTGAGACCCCTTCCTGGCTTTCCTGCCGCCACCTTTGAGCCCAGCCTTGCCTGATCCTGCTGATCGACCCCCCACTCTCTCAGCAGTTACCCTGGTGTTCTCAGAGCGTGGTCAGAGACCAGAATCCGGCCTGCCCTCCCCTCAGGGAGCCCCCACCCCCACCCCCCGCGCCTCCTGGGGCTCCCCCTTGCCTTCTGGGCCCGTGCACATGGTGCCCCTGGAGCCCCAGAGTCAGCGTGGTGATGGCCTGACCCTTGGTAGGTGGCAGTGGAGGTGGGCAGGTGGGAGGGTCACTGGAGGCAGCCCCTGGGCCAGCCTTACCACGCCCCTCCTGCAGTGCTGCTCGTGGTGTTCTGCGTGTCTGGCGCTGGTGCCCTGGCTGTGGCCACGCTCTGCTGGTGTAGGTGAGCTGTGGGCGGGCAGGACGGCGAGGCTGTGCTTGGCAGTCCCGCCCCACAGCGATTTCAGCTCCCCCTCTCTCAGGCTGCGGCGAGATATCCACCTGACCCAGAAGGCGGACTACTGTGCTGCAAAGGTGCCTGGCTCGCCCAGGACACCCCGGATTTCGGTGTGTGGTCTACTTCTGCCCCTAGCCCCAGCCTCTGGCCATACCCCAACAGCCTCTGCCTGGGGCCCCTTCTGGCTGCACCCCTCCAGCCTCTGGCCTTGCTCTGCTGCCCCCCCTCAGGTCCATTCCGCAGCTGCTGCCTGTCTCCTCTAACCTGCCCTGTGTCCCTACAGCCCGGGGACCAGCGGCTGGCGCACAGCGCGGAGATGTACCACTACCAGCACCAGAGGCAGCAGATGCTGAGCCTGGAGCGGTGAGCGCCCCGCCCCCCAGCCTGCAGTTGTGGTCCCCTTGTCCTGTCCCCACAGAGGTGCACTGAGCACCCACCTTGGTCCCTGGAGGGCGTAGAGAGGACCCAGTGATCCCGCCCTCATCCAGGCACAAGGAGCCCCCCAAGGAGCTGGAGTCGGTCTCTTCAGACGAGGAGAATGAAGATGGCGACTTCACAGTATACGAGTGTCCCGGCCTCGCACCGGTGGGTACAGAGAGGGGGGCTCCACGGTGAGGGTTGGAGCTGCCTAGCTGGGCATCTCCAGCCCAGGCCTGACCGGCACTATCTGCATAGACCGGAGAGATGGAAGTGCGCAACCCCCTGTTCGACCACTCCTCGCTGCCGGCGCCGCCACCAGAACCCCGCTCCTCACCCTCGCTGCCGTGACTGAGGCTGTGCCTGCCACTTGCCTACAGCGCGGGAGCCCCAGAGGGAACGCTGCTGACCGTGCCAGTGCTGTGTGGGCACTGGCCCAGGGCCCCTGCCAGCCAGAGCCCTGTGGTAGGCTGGGAGACCGTGGTCCCCTTGCACCTCCCAAGCTGGAAGGAGTGGGAAGACCCTAGAGCCCAGGCATAGGTGGGGAATTCTAGAGACAAAAGTCAATTAAAGTACCTCTCATGCCTGTGATTTTGGCTGTGTTGGAGGCTCAGTTTATCCTCAGTCATCTCACCCCACTTTGGAACCGGGGACACCAGAGGTCTCTTTCTGTGTCCTAGGGAAAGGAGCCACTAGAGGGGTGACACTCCAGGGCTGGATGGGACACCCAGACCCTCTTCAGTGGGCCTTGCCCCTGCCCGCTCTTGGCCTACTGTAGGGGAGGGAGGAGCAGGGTGGGTCTAGGTGCTAACCTGAAAGACCCTGCCAGTGGGATGAGCAGGGCCCTGTGGGATGGCCAGGGCTGGGAGAGGGCTAGCCCTCACACCTGGACGTGGCAACCAGTGTCTCCATCTTGCCCACCATCCACCCGGGCTCCTGCAGTGTGTAGCAGTGTGTTTCAGGAGAGGGACTGGAGCTCCCTGGTGGCCCTGGGATGTCAGTGTAGGGCTGGACTCAGCCATATGGGGCCCTTAGGGCCCCTCAGAGGAGGGGAGGGGCAGGTGCAAATCCTGACAGCCCTGAGATGATAGGAACAAGTAGTTTAGCATGGGCAGGGGCATGACAGCGCATGCTGTAATCCAGCGCTTGGGAGGCTGAGGCAGGAGATCACTGAGTTCTAGGCCAGCCTGGGCTACATAATGAGATCAAAGCCAATCTGAACTGCATAGCAAGACCCTGTCTTAAAAAAAAGCCAAAATAAAAGAATGGATGAGATATTGGCAAAAATGGGGTCACCCCTGTTTGGGGCACTGGTTTGTCCTAAGCAATGTAATTCTGGGGCCAGAGCCCCCTAGACCAGGACACCCCTTCACACTCACCCTGCACTTGTACTCAGCTGTGACCTGGGGCTGGCTCCCAGCTGGAAGCCTCAGTTTCCCCCTTAGCATGGGGGGTGAGGGCAGCTTTGGCACGTGCATGTGCGGCATCGTTCACCTGAGCTTTCCGGGCAGTGCCGAGTGGTGCAGGGAGCTGAGGCCTGCCTCAGAAGTCTACCTCACTCTCGGGTGGGGTAGGGGCTCCCTGGAGTCTAGGCCCAGATCAAGAAGGTGATACTTGGGTACCCTGCCCTGCTGGTGTCTGGAGTCGAGCAGCCACCTGTCATGTGCCATAGTTTTTTAGATTTACTTATTTAGCATTACTGGGACTAGAACCCAAGGCCTTCCTCCTGAGCCACATCCCAGCCCTTGTTATTTTTATTTATTTATTTTTGGCGCTGGGAATCAAACTCATGGTCTTGCCCTTGCCAGGCAGGCACTTGTGCCACTGAGCTATACGCTAGACCCCAGCTCTTTTTATTTTATTTTATTTTTTGTCAGAACTGGGGATTGAACTCGCCCTTGCGCTTGCCAGGGAAGTGCTTATTCCACTGAGCCATCTACCGGGCCCTGCTTTTTATTTTATTTTTGAGACAAGATCTTGCTGTGTAGTTCAGGCTGTCCTTGAGCTGGCTGCATAGCCCAGCCTGACCTTGAACTCACAGTAAGCCTCCCGCTTCAGCCTCCTAGGTGCTGAGTTTACATTATGTGCATCACGCCTGGTTTATTTATTTTATTTTGACACAGAGCCTCACTGTATCACCCAGGCTGGGCTAGACTTTGAGACCTTCCTGCCTCAGTCTCCCAGAGTGCTGGATGCACAGGTGTGCAGCACCACTCCCGTCTTCGCCATGTTCCGCCTTCTTGGCCTTTTGTGGTGTCTGCACCCTATCCCGAGGCCCCGGCTGCTCACACTCAGAGGCCTTGTTGGAGGGCCTCGTGGCTGGAGAAGGGTGGCAGTGCCCTCCCCGGCCCCCTTACCTGACAGACCCATACACTCTGCCGTCAGACCCAGATGCCTTGCGCGCAGCCCAGCAGCTGCCCTCCCTGCTCGGCCCAGATGGCTGCTCTGCTGTGAAGGGAGCCTTGGCCCTGGGGAGGGTCTTGCCGGGCCACATGTGCTCTTCCCTTCCTTGCACACCTGGAGCTGCCCGGCTGCCCTGTCCTTGTCCCCGTGTTCCTGTGCACCTGAAGGTCATTCTTCCCAGCAGCAGCAAAAGGCCATTCCTGCCTCAGCCTGATGCCGGCTGGAGCCCTCAACCCCAACCCTGAGCCTGAGTCTCCTGCGCCTGTCCCTCACCAGAACATGTCCAGTGTGACATGGCTGCACTCAATGCCCAGCAGGACCCTCCTGGTTCCTCCCAGAGTAGAGGCCAGGGCTGACAAGCCCCAGCCCAGCACAACTGCAGGGAAAGACTGTGTGGCCTGGAATGTGGGGTGCTGCGGTACCCCAGTGCCAGAGTCTGGGAGGTGATGTCCTCCCACTTTTGTGTACCAAGACCCACACCTACCAGCCCAGTGGGCAGTTGCAGTGCCAGGGCCCCAGCTGCCGCTTGCCAGCCATGTGGCACAGGGAGTGGGTCTTGGTGCGGAACAGAAAAAGACATGCAAAGCAGGGTGTGCCTTATGGGTCTCTGGAGACCTACCCCCCACCCCACCCCCTCCCTCCTGAAGATGGCTCGAGGGCTGCAGCCACCAGGAGCGTGAGCGCCCCAACTCCAGGCTTGCTGGGAAGGGGCCAGGCCTGGCTTAACATTGCAGCACAGGCCCCAGCACCACACCCTGCAGCCCAGGACTGACCTCTTGCCAGCCTACAAGGGCCCATCTCTCCCCACACACACCTTCCCCGAGGTGGGCCCCACCCCATCCTTTCATACAGAAAAAATGAAGCGTTCCCTGGCTCCCCGCTTAGCAGAAGCTGGACCAAGTTGCCTTGAGGCGCGGCCACCAGGGGGAGCCTGTTGTGGGGTGGGTCTCAGCACAGGCTGGCCTGGCTCCCAGAGACTGGCTGGCTGGGGAGATGGTTTAGTAGAATAAGCGCCTGCCTGGCACCTGAGTTCAAACCCTGGTTCTGCTAAAAAAAAAAAAAAAAAAAA